ATTTCTAAATTCTAGATCCTGTTTACCTTTGCGGAACTGAGGATGATACCGCAGATCACACCTTCTTTGTGCTTTCTCCCCAAGAATGATAATAGAAAAAATGATCGAAAATAAAACAAACTGGGATCGCTGAAAAAAGTAGATCTCGACAAAAGGCAACTGGATCAAGCAGATTTATTACATCAAGACGAAATGCGACTAGTCACTGGGATCAGCAGCGTGGTCTGGACGCAGATTACATCAATGGAAGTCTTTAATAACCCTACCTCGAAATAATACGAACATAGTTCCGGAATAGGAATAGGTCTCTAGAAATGAGGGGATGGGGTTTGGGGTCCATATGAGTCAGGTACTCACTTTCCGATGCGACGGATCGTGGTCAAAGCGTAGGCATTCCCATTCTCCCTGCCACAAAAAGCAAAAAAAAAATGTAACTGCTTATCTGATCAAATTTTTGATATTGAACAAATGTTCCTGCGTATCTGATCAAATTTTTGATATTGAACATATACAAACGTTTTATATACTTGCATTGACTTGCTACCATTCTTGATTTATTACAATTATTACTCAATAATATTGAATCTAGCATTATTCCGAGAAAGATTCTCATTAACATTGAATATGTTTTTATAGAATTTTTTGTCAATCGGTATTAACATCAACTTTTTTTTTTTGGCTTCTTACTATCTACTTCACTAACTAATAAGATAAGTTAAGTAAATAAAAGAAATAAAAATTTAGAAAGTCATAGATTAAAATATTTAAGTTAGTAAATAACTTATAAGAAATAAAGTGCAAGCTAGCTGCACTAAAAAGACAGAATCAATTTGAAATATTTCTATACAAAGGGTTTGTATTAAAATTTTAGAAACCTAAAAATAAATAACTAAATAAAAAATTAACTGTGGTGATAAGTACTAAAACTCTAATTTTTTATATATAATTATCTGGATGCACTTGTGAAAGATTTAACAATCTTCCTAAATGAATACAAATGTCGTGTAAATGCACTTAAATCTGAGTACTACCAATCTATGAGATATCGTGTCAATTTAAAAACTTCAATTAAACAGAACCAAAGTACTAAAAAACTGGAAGAACCAATATATTTGCAGTCACAAAAACTTTCTTCTGGTATCCTTCAAATGAATATAACTATTTAACTCAACCGCAAACATAGTTAAATCTCTACATCGATAATGTTTCTTACGCGATTAAATAAATTGCAAAAACTGATTGAACTTCGAGAAGATACATAGCTAAGGGGTAGATGGTCGGGGTATTGTGATTTGAAAAGCTGAAATTCGTCAAAATGATTTGAAGAACTATATGTCTATTCGCTTTTAATACATGATATGAATAAATGGTTAACAAAAGTATAGTCAATCCAACATTTTATCTTAAATCCCTTCTGAATGTTATGGTATCGCGTCTGCCCAGAAGATCTATATTATCACAATAGCTGTAAATTATTTAAGTGGAATTTAGGATTTCCCGAAGTTCAAAATGTAAAAAACAAACAAACATAGTTATCAAATATTCTTCAGCAGCAGAAAATTAAAATTCGGTCATAAATAATTGATCAAAAAGCTCGCGATCATAAATATAGCATATACATATATAGCAAAATAAATTTTATTTAAAAAAAAATTGCAAAAAATTTCTGGAGATGCGGGGCATCGATCCCCGTACCTCTCACATGCTAAGCGAGCGCTCTACCATCTGAGCTACATCCCCTAAGTCCAGTTTTTGTCAAAAATGCATAATGAATATTGTGTAACATTTTAAATCTGATTTTACAATAAGATTTCTTTAATAATAAATAATTTAAATGCGATATTTCTAATATTACCAATATTAATTAATATATCTGAAGTGTTATACTTACCCACTTACAAACAGTCAATTTCTATTAACAATTCGTTAAGTTAAATTAAAATAAATACGGATAAATTTTTAATATTTGAAAAAATATATTTTAAGTGACACACATTTTAATAAAACCACAACTAAACACAGTTTTCAAACAATATTACATTATTATAATTATTACACTTTTTTAATATTTATGAATGTACTGTGCTATTTATGTATGTACATATTTTGACATAACCTCATTAAGGATACTTTTCTTTCGCGTTTATGCAATTGGGAAGTAGCAAAATATTTGTAATAAGTTCGATTAAAAGAACTTAAAACACTTTACCGAATTTTACATTACATATTACAGTGATTCTTCATTCGTATATTTAAATGCGACTTTATCTATATTTAATGTTAACTTTTTAAATGTTTAAATAAAGCCAGTGACTGCCATTTAAAACCAACAGAAAAAAAGCGTTGTAAAACAGTTCGATACCGCTGCACTATTAATCGATAACTGTATTGATAATCGACTGTAACTGATCAAAGGTGGTGAAATTTTAAATAAAACAGTTAAACAAAACATTAAACATATGTATGTATTATGTTGTAAATACATAAATTTCCATTATGTATAAAAAAAATTATTAAAAGAAAAAACCTTTCTACAAAAAATATTTTCAGATTAAACGCAGAGAAATGTATATATATATATATGTATGTATATACATGCATTATATAAATGCCACTCATTCACCGCACACAATTAATTTACGCAATTGTGTTGCCATTTGTTTATTCCTTTTTATCATAATTTAAAACTGTCAATATTTGCACTTTATCCCAAAGTCTCAGGTTTATTCTTCTGTAAAAATACAATTTCTTGCAATTTTGTTTGTTTTGTTATGATTTCTTTTATTTCTTTATGTGGAATTGTTTTGTTTTGATTTCTTTTATTTGGTTACTTTTCATCAACACACAGCAATGAATTTTTATTTTGTTCTTTATAAAAACCTGCTGATGCATATAATTATGGAAATTTAAAATTTTGCATTTACCGCCTTTAAGTAATATCTATTGTTTTTTGTCTGCAGTATACACCCGCCTTCCAATGAGATTGAGTTTATTTAAATAAAACTTCGTTAGAAATGCAAAAGATAAAAGTTGAGCACATTTAATGTTTTCTTAATGTTTAGTAAATAAACATTATACCAACTAAATACAACTATATAAAATAATTGCAAAACACTGAATTTAAACATCAATAAAGTTATATAAATAAAATAATATATAAAATAATTAAAAAGTTACACTTAAGAATAGAAAAACTTTAACATTTTGACTTCTATTCCTACAAAAATAAATAAAATGACTTAGAAGAATTAAAAAAAAATAAAAATATTACTGTTTATAATACCAACTTGAATTTTCATTGCTCAAATTGTTCAAATTAAAAAGATACTAATAGATTTCGTATCTTATTTTTCTCTGAGTTTCTATTTACTAAAATTAAAATAAAAAACAATTTATGATTTCTTTTATAAATAAAAATTATATTTTATCAAACACATATATAAACACATATCAACTCATCAGAGATATATTTTTTTAATTCTAGAAATTGAGAAGAAAGAACAAAACAAACAAAAGCCATACGAACGAAATTGATCACAGAGTCTACTGTTACTCTAATTGCCACGCTTTCGCTATAATCCCACCTCCTTCACCTACTCGTAACCTAACTACGTCTTGCCCTTGTTATCCGGCTTAAATAAGCCCAGTCGCTTAAGTGCTGAGGCTCCTGATCATATCTCTCTCTCCTGATTACCGGAATGAAGTTTCACTTTGCCATGAAAATATTCTCCGGACTTAATGCTGTATTATAATAAAAATATTACAATTAATAATATTTCGCAGAAAACAAAACTAAAAATGTATAAAATATTGATTCGCTCAGTAGTAACATATGGCTGCGAAAAATGAAGATTAACTGAAACTGATGCAAGCAAGATAGCAGTATTTGAAAGGAAAATAATCAGAAAAATTTTTGGACCCGTAAAAGAAATTGGAAAACAAAAGCAAAAAACGGAGAAGAATGAACAGGCTTAGGTCCTACATGAATTTATCGCGGATGATGATAATATTATAATTTACATAAAATTTGAAATTTGGAAAAACATAGATTTTGGGATTATTATAACTTTGTATAAAAACAAAACTATCAATTTTAAAATCTATATTTGATAACGAAGACCTATATTATTTATGGGCAAAAGTTTCATTAAATGTAACTAGAAAGAAATAGCAACGCTAAATTAAATCATTAACTCCACAAATATGCAGCGATATGAAACAGTTTTTACACAAAATCACAAAAATTAACTAATAATCATAATAATAATAATAATAACATAAAAATAATATATGAAATAATAACTAATATTTTTAAACAAATATTGGGACATTTCAATTAAAAATATGTACTATTGAAATATTGTGTGTGAAAAATAAAATAGTAATCATGTTTTTTAAATAAAGCTCAGTAAATATTGGTATTTGTACGTATAAATTTGAATTCAATGTGATTTTATTTTACTGTAAAGAATAAGTTAAGTTGGTTATATTAAAAGAAACGTTGCATAAACATTTAAACTGAAATCATTTCAATTCTTTGAACTTTCTTTTATTATGTATGTATAATATTTCTATTATAATTATTTAAATTTAAAATTCAATACAAAATTTTGTTATGAAAAAATTTTGACAGCTAAGTTAACTTTACTGTTATACAAAGCAGCCCGCAAATGGCCCGTATAACAGCAAGCACAATTTAAAGTACAATTTTTATAATTATATTTATATAATAAAATATAAATAAAGTTATTTATTTATTAATACATAAATAAATAACTTGAATTAATTCTTTATTTATACATATTATAGGTGAATTCATATATTATTAAAATAAAATATTTAACATGTCAAATGAAGTACATATGCAATATTCACAAGTTGTTTCAATTCTGTTATACTAATGTCAAAACAAGAATAACTTGCAGCAGCTGTATTAATGACAAATTTGACAGAAGTTTATAAGCGGAGTAAATAAATAGAATAGCATGGAGCCGCTTAGATTTGTAATTAAATAAATGTTTTATCAATTCAAGAAATTAAAATTATTAAATAAAAGTGCATTTTTAATAAACAACTGGCGAATTTGATTTGCGTGCTTCTTGCCATTTTAAATGTTGTTTGTAATACTAAGTTCTTATTGCAGTAAAAAGTAGTGGCCAAACAAAAGTGTGAATAATAAGAATTTTAATGTACAAAATATAAAAATTTAAAAAGTAAAAAATGCTAGCGATAGAGCTACCAAAGTTGCAACCATTAACAAAAGGTCCCAAGCCAAACAAACCGGCTGAGAATGATTCCAAAAATGTGAACTCCAATGGCGACGGAACAGCTGAAAGTGAAAACGCCGATGAATCTGAATCTGAAGAAGTGTGAGTAGTTATTTTATTTCAAATAATAAATAAAAATTATTGCATATAATAGTTTTTTTTTGTTTGTTTTCTAATGGAAAAAGCTGTCACGATATGAATGAAATATATTTACTGCCAAGATGAAATATATCCAAAAGTTTAATGTTTCCTAATATGAGGTGGTTTTTATCACAGCACCACAACGAAAGCTGAAATATATTTTATTTGTAAATTTCAATAACAGTTTTTAAGAAATTTTAAATTTATATAGAGAGTTCTTATCTAATATTGTTGCTTTGTTGGTTTTTGCAAGTTACACCTATAGTGTATTTTATGTGCTGGCGTATTTGTTATTTTCCATTCTCCTCAAATAATGTGATCTCTGGAATCAAAGTATCTGTGTCCTGGTAATATATTTCCTCGATCTTTTAGAATGTTTAATGTTGTGTTTTCATAATTCTCTACTTTTTAAAGGCAATTCTAGGACTTATACTTAGTGTGTTTTATATTTATATCTGAAGCCTTGCAGTATTCCTGTTAATTATGTTTCATCTGTAGTTCTCTTATATTAGTGTTTCATGCTCTACTATATGCAATGGTTTTTATGCAATAATTATTTTATGCAATTTATTTTTAAAGTTTAACTTCCTTTTTTACTTGAGAGGATTATGTTAGTCTTATGTTATGTTTGCGAATTATAATCCTTTTTTGTGGGTTTTTGTGTGCGTTGTAAATATTAATTTAATTTTTAAAATAATTCGATACACTTCATAATATTACTTAATTATTAATGCATAAGCGCAACTCAGATTCTCAATAAACATTAATTTTTTTTAGTGAAGGTATATTAACAACCAACAGATGGTTTCCTCGATTTCATTCTCGAAATTGCAATATAAAAACTGCAACCCTAGTCTGGTTAATAAAGCCATAAAACAATATGTGAAATTATAAAAAACTTATGAAACATTATGACATAAATGCAGTCATAAAATAAAAAAGAATGATGTCATTAAGTAATTATAAACCATTTGGAAAAACCTAGTTGTGAAAACAAGATCGGCAGATTTAGAATAAATGCTTTATATACTTGAATTGCAAAGCCGAGATTTACGTCAAGGAAACTAAAAGTCTAGATTCGATTATATTAGATTCGATTTTGAAAAAATTGAGAACGGTGTCACCACGTCACTGCATCCTTTGGGATTATTGTGACAAATCAACTTTAATTTTAAAGGCTCATAGCAGTTAAAAACTCCATTATGTCCTTGGAGAGATATTGCCTAATTCCGTTTTAAGTAGATAGGCAGTTGATAAGTACCTGAGTACCTAAGTCTGAGTCTGGTGAGACTATCACAGGGATATAATATGTGTTCTACTCTTTCCTCTTCTTCGTGACAAAGTCTACAGTTATCGTCCTTTGTAATACCTAGATTCGATAGATGTTTTTTGACTCCTCAATGTCCAGTGGGAAACCCTATGACAAATTGGATACCTTTTTTGGATAAAATGAGTAGCTTCGTAGTTCTGGGTTTTGATCGATTTTGATGAATTCTTTAGCTTGCCTGCAGGCAATCACTTTATCCCAATCTGTCTAAGCTTTATCCATCCATTCACTAATTTTAAATTTGAAAAAAACTCCATGAAGAACCATAGAATAGTTTTGGCCAAATATAATATGATGCGGGCCTATTTATGGCTAGTTCTTCGGCTTTATCGTGTCCCTGAAATCCACTGTGTCCTGGGATCTATATTAAGAAGCCCTTGTTCCTTTCAGCAAGATCTTTGAGAAATTGAAGGCATTCCCACACTAGTTTTGAAGTCACTCGAGATGAGCGTAGTGCTAGAAGTATTGATTTTCCCCTCAGTGAAAATATATATGTTTTCCCCGTGGTAGGTTTCCCTCTATAATCCCTTAGATATAGTTCAATTGCGTGTACTTCGGCCTGAAAAACTGAATTTTCTTGACTCATACGCGAATATGTTCTGTTTTGGTTTAATCTCATAGATTAAGAATCTACTGACCAGAGTTCAATAAAAAGAGTTTAATCCACAAATTCTAATTGTATAGATATGACTTTGGATTAAACTACAAGATCATAGCTGTTTCAATATTGTCAAATACTAGTGCTTCAAAGTGTTGGAGTACAATCAGTTTTTTTATAATTATTACTAGAAGACTTATGAATATATTATGTATTCGAAGGAAGCATTAAAATGCTCAAAGTATTGAAAAGTCTGAATAATATTTGAAACACTTCCAAATATCCATCATCAGTGGTTATTAAAAGAAATATTTGTTGGTATAAGCAAAAGCTTGATTTTAATAATAAATAATTTATGAATAAGTTTTGAACTTTTGTTTATTATTGTTAAGCCAGACAACAAAATAATTAAAAAAGTAATTTTGCTATTTTATCATATTTGACTTTAAATATATATAATATGACGATTTAATATAATATTTTAATTGTGCCAAAAGAAACAATATGTTCTAAAATCTTCAATAGTTCATTCTGCTTAGATATACAAAAAAATTATTTACTCATATATATATATATATACATATATAAAAATGTAAATATTTACTATATTTTGTATATCATAATGAAAATATCCTACGTTAACAAATTTTTATTAAAAAATATTTGTTTGGAATTTTTTCTCCTTTGTATTACCATTTAAACACTTAAAATCTTAAAAAACATTATTATAATGAGATGTTATCAACACCAAAGAAGCCACTTTGCACCACCATCACCTAAAATGTTGCAGGACTAATTTTATGGCAGGCATGCAAGGAGCATAGCACAATATGTTAACGTTTCATAAAAAAGTTTTTTGTAGCGCCTTCGACTTTTGCCAAGGATGTGCCATGGATGTGCCACCATATGAAGCGAACGCATTATGAACACAATATGCGAATATTATGTGTTATGATTCTGACTGCCTGCTAAATAGCTTACCTCAACATTTTTTCCCCAAGTGGCTGTTGTGATTTTTTCAAACATATATCCATGCACTAGGTTTTCTTTTTTTAACAAATTTTATAACATAAAATATTACCAAAATATTTGCTTTTATGCGTATTAAAATGGTATTGGGTGCGTCCTTAGATTGCAGTATGAATCAATGATTTTTTGCCATGTTGCAGCAGCTGTTGTTTGAAGAAAATAGCAAGAATGTTAATAAAATGGCAAAAACGTGTTAAATTGTTTCTAGCCAAATGATTTCTAAAAGTCAATATATTCATATTAACTGCCATTAATAAACTATATGTATTTGTGTATTCATATATAAGTATGAGAAGCAGTTGATGATTTTTGTTGACTTCAAGTTAAAGCCACATATTAAAATTCTCTTAACTTAAATTTTTGATGCGATATTTATTTTATTACTATAATTTTTTTTATAGTACTGTCTATAGCTACTACATTAATGTACTTTATCTGCATATAAGAGTTTTTAACCATAACCATTGGTAAAACTACCAAGTTCATTGTGACGTATTTGTTACTTGAGGCACTTTATTTTACTAACAAAACAAGCCATTTTTGCATTGCACTCAATTAAGACAAACCCATTTCGAACTTCAAACTTAATGGGAAAAATTGAAATTTTCTAATAGATAACAAGAAAACAATTGAAGCCCATTTCGTGTAGTTACAATTTTTTTGTGGGTTCATGTTAAGCATGCATTCATCTTGACCATATCCGTTAGTTCACCAGCAGCCATTAGTGTCCGGAGTAAACCATCTACTCAATTTTCCGGCAAATAAGTTCGTCTATAAGGTTACTTTAGCATCAAAAGTTTAGTGCTACGTAAAGGAAATTCCGTTGAAAACAAGAAACCAACCTGCAAATTGGTTATTTTTTTCCAAATCATCAAAATGTGAAATATTTCGACAATTGATTGGAATTTGCAGCATTCTTCATCGACACGTTAACTTGGTCATCAACGGTTACGATGAAGTTGCTTTCACGGCGCATATTTCATCACAAAAATTCTTCAGGAACTGAAGTTTTGCACTTGTTTTTCGAAACGTTTACTAAGGCCAGGAGCATATTTTGACTCATGTCCTTTCAACCGACGACGTTATGGGTTTCATACGTGCCCGTTTATCTTCATACCTTTTCGCTTTAGCTACGTTTATTTTTTTTCTCAAGTAATGTTCGTTACATTACTTTTACATCCTGGCAATATTTGTACATGTATGCATAAGTATTAATGCTATACTGTACTGTATTGTTTTATTTTTTTGTTATTTTAGTGTTTTTTTTTTTGTGTTTTCTATTATGTAAGTAAAAAATCCTTAAAACATTTTTACATGCGGTTTGAGAAATTCAATTTACACGTCATGTTTTGTTGCCCACTCCAGTCAAACCAGGACCAATGTTGAACTTTATCCGTTCCGATAATTGGTATTTTCGATTTGCATGATTTTTTTTTGGTCCTTTCCAAACTGCCGTCAACTAAAATTGCTGTGGACAAGCATATACACCATAAATAATAAAAAACCAAGAGATTTGATTTTTTTTTTGCTTAAAATAAATTTAATTTATTAAAATTCCTAAGTGTAAAAAATAACAAACAATAGGAATTAACGTAATTAATTTTCGCATAAAAGCAATTAACCACGCCACATGACGGTCAAAAAGGTCAACCTTCCTCAAATAAAAAAAACATACAAGAAAAAACTTTTATAAGGACTCAGAAAAGAATTTTTTATTTATTTTCGTGATGTATAAAAAATTACATTATTATTTGTTAAATAAGATTTTTTACATTTTTATTTCATAAACAAATGTGACTACGTTTAATAAGAAATAAATATGAGCAAAAGAGCCATAAACAATTTTCAAATTAATATAATGCAAATTAAAAATATAACAAGTAGTACGAAGCTTACATTAACATCCATGAAGTTATTTTTTAACTTTAATTTAATATTATAAAATTTGATAACAATACTTTTTAAGATTTTTTCATAAACAAATTAATTTTTTTTCTCCTAACTACA